AAATCCCCAGTACAACACAGGCCTTTGGCAGCCCGTGGGGCTGTCTCAGGGTCACATCAACACATTCTGCTCAAGAGTGCTGCATTGGCATTAACAGACAATAAAAGACTGTGGGAGTTATCTACAATAACGCTCTTACCTCTCAGGCTTGCTGCCTTACGTTTGCTAAACAACCTTCAGTATATTTTTGGTTGCAGTAGCTGCCCCCAAGCCAAACGGCCTTGCCTTTCATACCACAAAGCAGGCAAAGAAAGAGACAGGAATGGAAATTCAACGCTCACTTTTCAATTCTAACCCTTGTTCCATACCACCACCACAAGACAAGCAGTAGAGAAAATATCTCCATGTTTGGAAGGTGTTCCTGCTTACCACATCTTCAACGGAGCTCTGGTCATCTTCAAGGTGATCCTCAGCCAGCAGAGAAAGCACTAGCCCCTTAACGCAGTGAACATACAAGCTCATCCTAACTGTGTTGCACTGTTTGCCTGAATCAACACCACCCTGAGCTCCCAGGCTGTCCACCTGAAAAGGCAAGCCACTCTCCCCACTGCTGGGACAGCCTGTGTTCTCTGCTCGGTCACTAGGCAGACTCTCCTGGACATCTGCAGCAAGCAGCCAACTCCTGCTTTTGTGCTCCGACTGTGCAAGAGTGGTTTGACGATCCAAACCCCAGACACTACCACCAGTTTCATCACTGCTTTTTCCAGGGATACTATTTTGGCTGACAGTCCCTTGCTTGTCTTGTTCACCTGGCTTCCTTCTGCTTAGTTCTTGAACAGGAGAGTAAATAGATGGACTGCCACTGGCTGAAGGACACCTTTGGAAACTGTGCTGCTTAATGGCAAAGTCCACAACAGATTCTCCCATGCTCTGACCCTCCTGCTCCTGGGCATAAGGGTTTGGGAAAAAAAAGCCTTCCGGAGATGGACCTGTAGTCTGAGCATATTCTGCAGCATAGAGTTTGGAAGTGCTTGGCAGCTCTTTCAGGTGTGTCTCTGATGAGAAGGATGCTCTTCTGCTCAGCTCCGGGCTTCTGCTGCCTGGGCTGTTCAGTTCTGCAGTCGGAGAATTCTTTGAAGTGGCTTCCATTTCAGGGAAGCCCTTCAAATGACCTGTGTTTGCAAGGCTATCCGAATGTATAGCATCTTCTGGTGCAGCTGTGATTGAAGCCTGCTCAAGGGACTCCTGTACAGAGGTACTACTCAGGTCTTCATTTTCATGAACCCCTGTTGATTCTGAAAGTGCCTGGGAGCAGAGCGTGTTCTTTTCTCCTTTAGGACTTGCAGGGGACATGGATGACCTAGCAGGAGATGAAAAGTTGATTAAGCTACTGATTAGCACCTGCTTGGGGTTATTACATGCCTAATAACACTACCACCTCCCGGTAGTGTTCAGAATCTGACCTATTCTCTGCTACAAAGCACATCTACCTTAGCAAAGAATGGGCTAAGGTCTGACACAGGTGAAAAGCATAGGCCTCATACTTGCAGGCCCCTGGGAATGATGTTGCTCCCTTATTCACAAAGCACAAGGGTTTTAAACAGAGCATGGCGAACTGAAAAACAACAGAACATCAGTTGGTCTTGACAAACAATTTTGTTTCAAGCTGCCTCACAACAGTAGATACCACAAATGTTGTCCGGCCTAAAAGGCCTTAAGCAGCCTCAACAGCCAGGTGACAGAGCCAGAATTAGTGTCAGAGAAAACAATTAACAACAGCTAGTGAGGACACACCGCCACATGTTAGGTCATTTGCTGCAAAAACCTCTTCATACTTCAAATTCATTCCCTACCTAGTCATCCACTCCACTGGAAAGTCTCGGAGCACTGAGACTTCATCTTCTGTTAGGAAAACTGGAATGATACGAACTCCCTGTGGCAACGGAGAATCTGCAAGAGCAATGGAGGTTGGAGGAATTAAATTAACGTGTTCCAGCATAATGAACAGAAGCCAAACTCCATCAGCACAAAGGCGTCTGCAGAAGGAGAAGGCATGCTCTTGTCCTGTATCCTGGGTCATCTAGGGAACTGGCAAAATCTGACCAGGCAGCATTTTCCCATCCACTCAATGCCTGACAGTTACACTTTTCCTTAGTTTTTCCTGACTATCCTGGCAGCATATCTATAAACTCACGCTCCAAAATGGAAAGTGAAGGTTTGGACTGAAAACACCAGTCATCTACTCTCATGGTGCCGTCAGTGGCCAAGGAAACACATGGGGAACTGGAATTAAAACAGGTGTGCTGGTAATCTGCAGAACTCCTGATTAAACACAAAAGAACAAACTCTTTTGCTTAGCTGAAGGAACCAAATCTGGCTACAACACACCCTCTGGCGCTCATTGGCCAGAAGCAGCAATACCCTCAGCAATATACTTTCACGTTCAGTAAGAGCTTCACCGCGAATCCCAGAAAACCAACTCATGCTCTCACTGCAGGGAGAGTTCAGCCCCAGAGGGTTGCCCATACAGTGCTGTTGTGCACTTGGTAATCTGCACTCTGCAGCTGGATGCTCACCAGGCTCCTGCTGCTCCTCACCTCCAGGCTCGTTCTGAAAGAAAAGCCAAGAATCAGCTCTGCAGCATGACTCAACACTTGCCATCAGCGCTATCGCGACATGTCTTCCGGCCTGCACAGAGAACAATGCAAGTTCCGCCTGTGACTACAAAGGACACCAGATCATCCTCTTCAGCAAATGCTGTGATTGGTTTACCGTGTCGTGTAATGATTTGTTCCTTACGTAGCCCTCAGATTCAAAGGGACTTCCCAAGAAACAATACAGCTCATATCAAGGACAAATATCACAACCTGCCATTACTGCCTACTCAGGGTACAAAAACTTGGTCCATTCTCTCAACCAGAGTCAGGGCAGGGGCTTTACTCATGTCCAGATCTTGACAGCTTTTTTGTAGAAGATCTCAAATCACATAAATACTTAATTTTTAATAAGTTTTAATGACAATGAAAAGTGATCCATTTGTCACTTTCAGATATTCACTATGGATATTTAGTACTAAATATCCCAATCCAGGTAAAAGGCTAATCAAACATCACATAAACAAGAATTCCTGAATTCAGTAGCTAAAATACTCGAAAAAAGCAAATTCCTTCTGCGGAAGTCTTGAAATCTTACTCAGTCTCAGCTCATAAAAGCTTTTAGTATCAACATCATTATTTACGCTTCTCAGTAACAGTGCACGTTAGACGTATATGTGAAGAGCTCCCAGACTGTGCCTGCACAGTGTGTATCTGCATACAGTGAATTTGTTTAGCAGCATACCTGGCCTGAAGATTCATTGCCCTGGAGGAGAACTTTGGCAGTAAGAGGAGGGGGCAGCTGGGTGCTCACAATCCTAAAAGAATAAAATAGTCATTCATGAGCAGAGTATCATGTTCTCAAGCTCAGCCCTAGAATCTCATCACTCAGTGCATCAGGACAGGCATAGGCAACAGTAGTGCTCAAATCAGACAGCTACAAGCGCTCTGAGCAAAACCGATTGTGTTGCAGGGCCCCATTTCATAGCTAGGTAATCTCTGGGGGAGCCCCTGAGGTTCTATCACACCCATCTCTCAGGGGTAGGCTCCACGCTCTGCAAGGTTTGAAAGGCCAGGCTTAGATGTCAGGTGTAACTAACACATCCCCACACAACAAGAACATGTGCTGAACGACCTTCAGGACTTCTGGGTTTTTTTCTTTTCCTTAGGTCAGTTCCAGTCCAAACTCAGGAAAGGCAGAACTGCCTGTTGGTATTTAATTTTGGCCAACAAATCTGGTTCGGCTGAGTCAAGAAACCACGACCTAAGACATATCAATCCATATAAGCAACAGACTTTCTGCCACTCCCTGCAGAGTTGTGAGCAGTGGAGAAGGTTTAGGAAGACCAGCACTCATTGTACTGCAACACAAGCCCCTTGTACAGGACTTGCAAAGGAGTTCTTGGTCTTTCCATTTTCATCCTGTTGAGATCCACATTCTGTAGATGCTCTGAAAGATTCTAAAGAAGGGAAAGTTCAACTTAAGTACAAAGCTCTTTGCAGCACTTTAGTAAGGTTCAGAAGTCTGATGACCTTTCGTGAAAAAATCTCCACTAGGCAGAACAGCAACACACAAGACACACATTGGTAACGAGCACAAGCACCCAAGACGACTCATTTCTCCAGCCAGACCTCCATTTCCATCGCAACAAGCAGCCAGCATTAAGAATGCTGCAGTGACTTGTGCTCAGTGTCCTGCTTGCAAGCATGAGATCATTCCCTCAAAAATGCCTGGCCTACTTCTGTCAGATCTAGAAATATTCACATATCATGGCATCTCTCCAGTGCTCATAAAGGGTGTCACAAGCACAGTCTAAGTAACCATTTAAGAGTACCCAAAGTAAAAAGGCGCTTGAGCGCTACTGCCAAGAAATTCCCAAAATCTCCCATCTCTTGCCTTTCAAAGACACTCTGAGACTCTCCTTACTGTGGTTCAGGGCAGCATCTACAGCTGTCTATGATCTGTTTTCGGTTGAACAAGGTCAACGTTTCTCGTGGGAAATTCTGGTTCGTTCTTCTACATCATTTCTGCCGGCACAGATAGTGGTCCTGGCCAACAAGTCAGTCAAAAATATACACGTACACATACCCACACGCACTCAATTTGCAAGACAACAAAGAAAACACTAAGAAAGAGAAAAGAGCAATGTTATCCTGACTTGTACAAGGCTTTTACAGCAGTATTTTGTAAATCCCAGCGTTTGGAAAGCTCTGCAACTTAGAGACGTGCCATTCCCTAAAAAGGACAAAAGCACTGTCAACACCAAAATGCTTCTGGTTTTCATGTCACAATCCATGGATGATCCCAACTCTGAGGAACCTAAAGTAAAATATGAAAGGTGTCTAAAATACTAGAACATGCCAGAACCAGGTCACTGGATTCTTTTCTCAGCTATGTTACTGCTGACTTCAAACACCGGCCCATCGAAAGTTCAGGAGCCAATCTTTCTGCTAAGCATCTTCCAGCCTTTCAAGAAAAGTAAGGTTTGTGCCTGAATAATGTGCTCATGTGGACATTAAAATTATTTTTCTTGGTGACTTCCACCTACAAGGCCTAAGAAGTTAGGTCCTCATGTCTCACTGAACGCCAAAGACAGCAGAATACCTTCTAAAACCCAAACCTTAAATTTCTTCATGCTTTGGCTTCTCCTACTGATAAACACAAATAACAATTGACCCTCTTTGAAACATATCGGCAGACAGGGATTACGCTATCTGAAGCACTAATGTTCCCCCCAGTAACAAACAGCAGCCCTGCCTGTACAGCAAGTGCCCTTGCTCTGCTGCTGCTTGGACGCACGCTGGGGTTCCAGCCCTAAGAGGGGGTAGCATCAACACGCAGATTAACCCTTTAGGTAATGCCTGGTTACTCACAAGCCTTTGTAGAGAATGCAGCCTGCCAAGACATGGGGAGACCGCTGGCAAGTTTGTAAGATGAGAGCTGCTTTCAGTAAGAGCAAGGGATCCACCTGGATAGGGAGAAATAGAAGTTAAGCCAGAGAATTGCTCTGGGAAACGCTCAAAGCAAAAACAAAACCAAAACCACTAGCACTAAGGCAGGCCTAGAGCTAGATGCCACAGAGGAGAGACTTTTACCTTGGTTTTGTCCAGATTCCAAAGAGAATTGAAAATCTTGTGGAGGTCACTGGTGTTTTTTTGGATGTGTTCAATATATCTGTCCCACTGCTTGCTCAGTTCCTCCTGAGAAAATGCCTGGGGACAATAAAAATCCATATGGCTGTCACTCCACAGTCCCTAATGCGTTCAGGATGATTAGTTGCAATCAATCTATCTGGGGCAGTAACTGTAAGCAGCAACTCTTGTGAGGAGAAAGAGAAAGAAGACACAGAAGAACTTTAGACTGAACATCTAGGAAAATTCTCTCTTATGGGATATGCCAGCTGAAGGATTGACCAGGGGAACTTCATCACTTGAGACTTAGAATAGCAGCATAGAAGGGAGACAGCAAATGACCACGCTGCCTCAGCGCAGCAGAAGGATCCTTCTGAAAGGACTCAGTTCTTTGATACATGAGCTTGCTCGGACCCTTGCAAGCAGGAAGGCAGCACAAGGGAACAAGCCAGCATGCGTGTGCCTCGACAGAGCTTGGCCAGTAAGGGCAGTGTCTAACATCTCTTCCTGGCCAGAAACACCACAGCTGTTGATCTTTAATTACCATGTAAGCATGGTGCACAGGTCCATTGTAAAACCTGAAGAGGCTGATCAGCTGCTCCAGAAATCGTCTACAGCTGACATCAGGAAGTTCAACAGCACAGCCCAGAACCTTCAATACAGAAAGCTATGAATGAAGAATGTTTACTGACACAACCCAGGGACAGCAGGTGAGAACAACTCTTATTGCTTTCAAATTGACTATTAAAGATATACAAACAGTTCTATGGTAGGCAAATATCCCCCACAATCACAAATCTGACAAAAGAGCAAATTCAGAAATACCCACAGAAGAGCTTTGGCACAAATAGGAGAAATAGACGATATTGAAAATTCAGAGTTTTAGATACACTCCCTTCCCATCACAGATGCTAGAGACCTAGCTTAGTGTCCTAGTAGTTTAGACCATTCTCCTGAAAGTATTTAAAAATATTCAAATTCCTCTTTTATAGAGATCAAGATGCTTCATTAGCTTTTGATTGTCAAAGAAGAAACAGAAGTGCAAGAGCCTTCTGCTTCTGAGAGCTAAGAGAGTCTGAACAGCACTGCCAATGAAATCGGTCTGACCGTTCTTAGTCCAGTTTCCAGGAGATGGTTGGGGGTATTTTTGTCAAGACTATGCTGCTTTATATAAAGTCTTTATATATATAAGGTCTTTATATACTAAGTGTCTATTAATACTGATAAAGGTCTGCAGCAGGGAATATTGAGGGTTAGCAGGGAAGAGCAGTCAGGCTACCAAATAGGGAGACTGAGTCCTCAGTTTAAACTATAGTACACAGACTTCTGTTTCCAGTCATTGCCAATAAACCACAGAGATATATAGTTATGCAGATCTCAACTTTTTATAGCCATTGCCAGGCACATCTTAAGAAAACGTTTGGTGAGCACACATAAATGAGGTACGCCAAGCTTTTTTTTTTTCCTTAAAGAACAGCTGAAGTGATTGCCACTACACATGCTTGTACACTGTGGTAAACAAAATTTAAGTTACCTTGCAATGAAAAGTTGTGCATTGCAAGTTCACACCCTAGCTCTCCCCAGGTCTATTTGTGTGCAGGCCCATACCCTGGAAAAAAAAGCCCTCTTAGTTCGATAAAATAGTTGAGGCTTTCTCATTGTTTTAGCTCTTTGACCGTCTCTGGATCTCTTGAACTCACCCAGAGATAGTTTCCATCCACTATAACTGCAAACTTGAGCTTTCTCAGCCGAATGAGACTGGGAGGAACTCCAGAAATCTCAATCATGCAATGTACCACTCCTGCAATCTGTCCGCAGAGCAGCTCCTGCTGATCAAGGAGAGTCTGTCAAAGAAGGCAGGGGAGAACTACTTATTTTTTTAAAAAGACTTGAAAAAAAAAAAAACACACTACTGTATTCAGCTATACTTAAAAATGGATTATAAATTAATTTCAATTATAAATCAAATGCAGCAGCACAGGAAAATCTGTGTGGAAGAATAATTAGACTGCTTGTTTCAGGCAGCACAAGAGCCTAGAGCTTATCTAGGAGCACTCTCCCATCCCCAGAGCCTATTTGTTCACAACACGAAAAGAAAATTGGACGCTGCTAGATGATTCCACTGACAGGAATCCACAACTGAGGAAGCGGTGTTAACAAGAGAAAGTGCAACACAACCACATCCAATATCTCTCTTGGGCATCCTGCGTGGTGGAGCATCATTCCACCTAGTTCTAGTTGCAGGAGTTTTCTCAAGGCTTTTATGAACACCGAATACAAATTTATCCAAAGCACAATCTGGAATCACCACTGTTCCTCAAGCACATACATATACATGCATACATCAATAAATACAGGCAATATAGAGCACTAAAATAAAAGCAAACATTACCTGAGAAGGATAAAAATAACAAATGCCAGCGCTCGTAGGATCTCCCTCTTCCTTAACCTTTGAACCGTCATAAAGGAAAAAGTAATTCCACCTACAAAATCAAAACAATGGCAGAAATGATCATGTGTTTGAAAACTATTACACTTCTCCCTCTTCTTTCTATTATTTCAGGTAGAACAGTACAAAAAATTAATACAAATCAAAAGAGACATTGTTCCTACATAACCACGTGCTCTGATTTTAGACACAAAAGCAGCTTCAAAAGGCTCCCATGGTAATAAACTTGGCCAATTTTGTGGGTTTAAAACAGACCCTATAAATCTACAAGTAAGAAAAGAAGAAATGGATTTGTAAAATAGTCTCCTATCCTGAGAGCATAGGATAATTATCATTAGGTCTTAACCATAAGCAGTCCAAACAGTTCCCAAAACCTGCTGCTTTTAATTTAAATGTTAACCATGTGTCTGATAGGCCATAAAGAGTGCAAGACGGGAGCTCCTTTCAAAAAAATTGGCCTATTTCATATTATTCAACTCATACCGTCAAGAGTGTACTTATTTAATAATTCCTTTTTCACTCCTAAATAGCTAGTTACATTCACCAACTTTGCAAAGAAGAACTTTCCTGCAAAAATAGATGAAGTCTGGAGAAAAAAAAAAAAACAAATCACAACTCCGAAGGTGAAACTAGAGAACACAAGTTATTTCCCAGCCAAGAAAAGAGACTAAATTTGGTCTTAGACTGTGCCTACCGGTTTCTGGAATGATTCATTAGAGAGAGAGAGAGACAGAGACAAAGTTATTAAGACACTGCTTGAGCTTCCAGGAGATCTGGACTCTGTTCCCGGCTTTGCCCACTCCGGGGAAAGCACACAGCTCATTTCTCTCTCTGCCTCAATTCTCCATCTGTAAGCGAGGAAAATAAACACTGTTCTGCCAGACAGAGATGAATGAATGTTTATGGGACAATAACACGTTACTGCAACGGCACCACGCAGACACCCAGCG